GTCATCAATTAAGTTGGTGAGTTCATAAGAGTTTGTATGAGAATTTATAAACCTTTCCTTGTAAAATGATAGTATTTAGTTCCAGAAAATCAAATATTTTCTTAATTTGTGTTGTAGTCTTAAAATCCTTAGGACCAAAATGTATAAGTATCGCCGTACTCGAAAGTAGTGTTATGTGGTTTTAATTTATATAAAACCATTTGAATGTATGACTTCAGAAATGAAGGTTGTTCTGTACTGGAAAACAATGTGATGTAGTTTTAACTAAATAAAACCCTTTGAAGGTATATTACTCCGAAAACCAAATGTGTCGTTCTTTCCATGTGAGTTCTTACAACCGTACTATGACTGATATGCCTGCTGCGACGTTCTTTAGGCGTCGACATGTTAATGACATTTGTCACCCCAAACCTGACGGTCCAGGTGTAGCCAACAGCTAGGGTGCGGGATTGTCAGTCCCATATAGATCTACAGACAAGTGTCACGTTCTCCCTCCAAGAGATCCTGGTTATAATTCAAGACTTTTGTTGGTACTTTGGTAAGTACTTGAAGACGTGTCTCACAAATAATTGATTTAACGAGTTTACGTGGAATGAACTGAAAATCATTTTTCTTGTAAATGAAATAATTACTTTTCCATACAAATAATAGTGTGATTGTCCCACAAAATATATCTATTATAGTTTATAAAAATTGTTTCGCTGAAATGATGAATCCTTTTTATGTAACATATATATATATATATATATATATATATATATATATATATATATATATATATATATATATATATATATATATGTAGAATAACATAGTGTATTTGTACTTTGTTTATCGTAGTTCTCGGTCCAAGTTGAGATTTCGGCCTAGAAGTGATTTCGGTTCTTGACAACCAAATTTTCTATGTTTTGGGTCTCAAAACCGAAAACCCCAAATGCAAGGTGTAAAATAAAATGTTTGTCTAACTATTTGACTTTTGTTGAATTAATTGACTTTTGTTGACTTAATTGACTTTTGTTGACTTAACTGACCTTTGACGACCAGAAATAGCCGGTTGTCACACGCCACCATTGATCCTCCTGTCAGCTTTGGCAAGTCACCCTTTTTATGGCATGTCTAGTTGCAATGAAAGCAAATCAGTGCACCCCAGGAGCAGCCCCTACTTATGTGCCTAGTCTGACGACATCTGAAATACCCCGACCCTGCTGCTGTACATTGCCCCTCCATACGCAGGTTGTTGCACTTTCCTCAACGGCTCCGAACCTACTAGCCTCTCGTGTGCGAATCAGAAGTCTTGGGCCTTTTTTCCTGGCCCACTACTGTTTGTACCTACTCCGGCTTTCACTTCATCCAAATTTCCAACTCAACTTTCCGTTCTCAGGCTCTAGCAATCATGTCATTCAGTCTCTTGCACATCAAAAACCTCATAAACACTCTAATATCATCCCTCAACATATTGTGGTATCTCATCTTATTCATCTCCTCATCCACAACATATTGCAGAACCAATAGATCCCTCTCTTGGAACTTGGCAACGATCTCTACCACAATCTTAATAGTCTGAAGAAGGTCCTAAAACTCCCTCTCCAGTTGCTGCAACTCAAGCCTCAGTGCAAACTCCTCCCGAAATTTTGTAACAAACTCCTCCCAAGTTATTGCCACCACAACCGCATATCCCAATACATGACCTACCTCCTCTTATAATTCATGGGCTCGGTCTCTCAGAAGGAAGGAAGCAAACCCCACCTTCACCTCCTTGGGGTAGAAGCTCATTCACTGAGCATTCTCAATGTCATTGATCCAACAACGGCTAACAATAGGGTCCTTAGACCCAAAGAACTTAGAAGCTCCATATCACTTGAACTCTTGAAAAGAGGGAGGTTGTGCTCCTAACTGTCCTGCGATGATATCTGTCTGAAAGGCCCCGAGTCACTCGTCCAAGAGCTCCATAGTCACCTACTTGATGTTATCGAAAATCATAGAGATGACATCCATGATACCACAAGTAATTTCTAATGTGTTAAACTCGCATAACCGCCCATCCATCGTTTTGGTAACAATGCCAAAACCAGATCTAGAAGCTCCTCCACGAGTGGTGACCATACTCAACTGAAATACAAACATACAAACGATCAGCATAATCTCAAGGGAACTTCCACTCTAGATGCTCCTTAGAATTTCTGAGACCCTCCTTTACTCGAGTATAGATCCTTTACTTTAATTAGTATAGGGCCAATACTACCTTCCACACCTACCCGTACTTTCCTCAAGAACCATCCCAAATCTTCTATGTCACCCTACAAAAACCATACACACCATCCCTATTCTAACCGACATACATATCCTATTACAACATTTCCTAGGCTTTCCTAAGTATTCTCAACTCAACCGCCCTGCAATTTTGAGAATCTCGACCAACGTCGTTGGTTGCCTTATGCATGCAAGTTGTACAACTTGTAAAGCATACATATAGCAAGGCTAAACCAATCATTCTATGGCTATATAAACGTAATGGTATACAACTTTTAAAGCATATATATAGCAATTAACTAAGTCGATATCAATCCCAAGTAACACATATAATACAATCCTCCTAACCTATAAGGCATCACCCAAATTACACAATTTTATCATACATTTCATGAAAGTATCCTTAGCCCTACTATAGCTTGTAATCCACATATTAGGCATACTAATAATGCATAGGTATGGGTATTTTGGGAATCACTTACTTGAGCTCGGTTGATTGCACGCATCACACCTCTTTCCAAAAATTCAATTTTCTTTTTGAAAAAAGCATGTCAATTCCTTAGTTTGAGTTTTGACACATTCGAAAGTGTGCCTGAATCCATCAAAACAAGCCTTTGATACAAACTTGTAACGTCCCAAAAAAGTGATAAAATTTTCATTTTATAAATCATTAGTAACATACATCATATGTATCAAAGTCAACCATGATACAATATATCAAAAATCATTAGAGTAAAAATTGTCATAAATATGAAATCACGAGGGGGATGTTGTGCGATCATGTCGGGCCCTTCCCTTTTTGTACCGGAAGTACCTAAAACCATAAACATAAAACTGCAAGCACAAAGCTTAGTGAGTTCCCAAAGTACCACATACCATACATACAGTTGGGCCCAACCCTGGGACATATACCAACCCAAAATACAATCATGGGCCCAGCCCTAGGGTATGTTTCAACCTGAATATGTAATGATTCGCCTAACCCTAGGGTTTCTTTGATCCAAAGGATACAATTATGGGCGCAACCCTAGGTTTTATTGAAACCCAAACATACAAACATGCAAGAGTCACAGAGACAACTAGCATCCTATATAGCACAATCCAGTAGGCTGGATTTGGTGACTTTGATCCACAAGCACATTGAGAAGACTCACGACTTAGTCTATACTCAAATACGACTGCTCTCACTTCCAGAAATACCAATGCTATGCACCACTATACAGATATACTAGATAAGCACTTAGCTCTTCTACCAAAACAAGGTTGTTGACCGAAATTTAACATAACTCAAAGTCAATGGTAAAGTCAACGATCAACGTTGACTTTAGTCAACCGCCACATCATGGCCATCCATGGCCACACTGTGGCCCTTATACATCGAGACAATCATGATTTTCGTAGTTGCCACACCATGGTAACCTAAGGCCATGTTGTAGGCTCTATATTTCCAACAACTTAATTGGTTAAGTTGTTTTCTTTGATTCCAAGAGCTCCAGAGCTCACATTCGGTCTGAAACCTGGTCTAGAAGGATAAAGTTTCCAACTTTATCCTTTAAGACTACCCAAAAGGTCAAAATCTCAAACCGTAGGTTCCAAAAATGCTAAAAAGGTCATGGATTCATCCATTAAGCACTTATTCACAAGAAATCCTTAGCCCATTAACTTTAGAAGGGTTCCAAACATCAAAACTAACATAAAAGTTGGTGTTTTATACTCATGCATGTCCAACGGATGTCTTGAACCCATCATGAGTCAAAATATGGGTTTTTGATAAAATCTCATGTATGGAAAAAAAACTAACTATTCTTCAAATCCAAATTAACAATCATACCCAATGTTCCAGAGATTCATAAAGTTGCAAACTAAATGATATCTCACCACTCCAACTAATAAGAACATAAAGATTAAGTGACATAACTAAAGATCTAGCAAGCTAACATGATAAAAATCGAGTCGTGGACACTTACAAAGGTCCAGACGAGTGCTAGGGCGAAGAATGGAGACTTGCTTGTTGAATCTTAGCTCATTTCTTCTTCCTTCTTCCTACAAGAACTTCCAAGAACACTAAAAATGTCTTCAACACTTTGGCCATATACTGATCTTTACAAGGCTGATGGAGGTTGCGGGTGAGCACACCCTAGCATCCTCATTCCTTTAAATATGGAGCAAATCCGAAAAAATAGGGTTTTCCTTCAGCCAGCTGCCACACTGTGGCTTTATACTGCCATGCCGTAGCGGCTTAAATGAAACACACATTCCAATTTGCCTTGCCACATCACGGTGGTGACTCCACCATGCCGTGGGGAGCCAAAAATTCCAAAAATTAAAAATATAAAGTACTTCAAGATACGCGCTTTACATTCCATCAACTTCAATGTCTTTATCAAATTGAGAGATGATCTTAGTGTCAGGTTGTGGATATTTGTTCTCTTTTTCAGATGCTTGGCCATCGTATTCCAGCTCCTCCTCTAATGGGCATACAAGAACAATATATGGCAATATTTCACACTAGTATGGAGTGTTAATCTACTTCTTCATTCCCCTTGTGATGCTCCATTCGTCTTCAGGATCCTGGTTGAATAACTTTGAAGATGTAAAAGAATGAGACAAATTTTCTACTTGTTCATCATCATACCCAGTACCAATATACTGAAGTATCAGTGCAAATCACCATGGGTAAGGAGTATGAGTAGATCATTTACTTCCTTTGTGAATCTCAACAATTTGATCAAAGATAAGTTGGGAGAAATCTAGCAACTTATTCTTGATGACACATAAAAAGTTATGTATCCAAAGGAGTTCAACTGCTCAGGAATTCTCATTTTGTGGGTGACACACTTCCCAAGGACACCAGTAAGAAACTTCCAAGTAGTTGGAAGATGCATACGGGGAATATTATGATTTTCTTGTATATCAAAATCATAATTCAAATTTTCAAGTACAACACGACATTCATCAATAGATGGAAGACAAAAGTATTCATTTTTAATTGGAAGACTTAAAGCTCTTAAGTCATCAGTCACATTCATTCGGATAGTGTGATCACCATCTCCTATTGTGCCAAGAATCACTCTAGTATTGTAGTAGGTAGAATTATAGTAGAAATCACAAACATGTTGTGGAAGAAAAGGATCAACTACATCAACAATAGCATATAGAAGCGGGCATGCAGTAAGATAGGTCACAGAATCTTTAAACCCTTTTTTCCTTATTTTTTTAAGGATTTCAGGAGAAAATGCCACATTGTTGGGCATGATGAAAATAGGATGTCACACCCCAAAACCGGAACGGCGGAAACGTTCGGGGGTGGAGGTCGTCATGTTCAGTATCACAACAATGCAAAGTAGTAAACAAGCAACAACATCATCCATTGCATTAATAATATAATTTCATACAAGTCTGTTCTGTCAAGTTATATAGACACCAAAAAAATATACATCAAAAATAAAAGATGAGTCTTGAACGAGCTCCATCTTCTCAAAACCTGGTACTGGTACCTGTCTATTGGTGACCTGAGAATACAAGTTATTTTGAAAGAGTTTATCAGCTTTAAAGCTGGTGAGTTCATAAGTATATTAGTGTATGTATTTGTATGAAAGTGTGTGTAAGTCTGTAAGGTATAAGTTTTGTAAAAGTTTGTAATTGTTTGAACTCTCCTAGAAAACCCTATGTTTCCTACTAAAAGTAGCCTTCTACCAAGGCATCTAGTATCTGTGTGTGTGTCTCTTGTAAGAGTGTGTATTTTCCCAAATCTGACTATCATTAACCAAAAATATAGTTTTTACATTATTGTTTATTGTGTGAATATCACAAAGTAAATGCAAAAGGGAAAATGATATAGTACTGTAGTGTTGTATTAAGTAACTACTGCTATACTAACTACTTTAAACCAATTGTTATTTAAAGTACCATGTGATCGGCCTGTATCCTGCTACCGACTCTATATAAAAACGACGATGTAAGACGTCGTAAGAAATGACGTTTGGCACCCGTAGACTTGCAAGTCCCACTGTAGCGAGCAGCAAGGTGTAGGATAGTCAATCCAGTATAGATCTATACACAAACTCATACGCTCTCCACTTAAGGAGATTCTGGATACAAAACGGGTCATGACAGGTAGTGCCATGCCCCCGTTAAGTAGCTCACATAACTGTAAGTAATGTATATGTATATGTATATGTATGTGCTAGCTGTATTGTGTGTTCTTTCTCTGGCTAGCCTGTATGTTTTGTTTCTCATCATTGTGTATTATGTTTGTTTCTCATCACTATGTATTATGTTTGTTTCTCATCAGTATGTATTATGTTTGTTTCTCATCACTATGTATTATGTTTGTTTCTCATCACAATGTATTATGTTTGTTTCTCATCACTATGTATTATGTTTGTTTCTCATGAATGAACTGACTCATTGTATGTTTCATTGTTCTAGTAATAATATCTTCCTAAACTATACCTATTATAGTTTACTAGTAATGTTGTTTGTGTATATGAACATGTTTGTATACCTTTGCTACCCAAAGGCATTGAACTGAATGAAAGAAGTAACCTTTTATATCTATACACATATACATGATATATAACTAGGATTCAAATGACCTTCGGACAAATAACCCGAATACCCTAAGTCCACAACCAAACAAGGAACAGGAAGTAAGGTGAGCTATCAGTCCTAAGTCCTTTCAATCCTACTTATATAATTATATCCATATAGATACATAGAATATAAGTTAAAAGAGTTAATTAAAAGTATTTGATATGTAAAAGAGTTTGTAAAACAGTTTGAAGTAAAACAGTTTGATAACACAGTTTGAAAAGTAAGAAATCCACTTGTTTGGTAGTTATTAATCACATGTAATTGATAATAACTATAATAGTTCAACTTGTATCCCCCCCATAAAAGCATTTAAAAACATTTAAAAGGTTAATTAAGGGGTATGAACTCACGTGTAGTGAGTGGTTTGGATGAACATAATGTATAGGATGTTAGGTGTCAAGTGAAGACTTGTACACACACAATGATCCTACTTTAACATATAATATCACATATATGTATCCAATTAGTCTTTAAACATCTAATTAACAAAGTTAAGACATCCTAGGACATGTAAAACACCTTATTTATGTGCTATAAGTCCTAAGGATTGCATCTAAGTGTTGTAGGACATTGCTATTGAGTTTAGGGTTCAAGGGAACCCTTTATTGGAGTTTACGGTTTTGTGACCATAACTCATTGAGTTTACGGTCGTAAACCCATGAGTTTACGGCCGTAAACTCATGTTTCTTTGAGCATTTTGTGTTTTGAAGCCTTAAAGATCACAAGAAGCATTCCTACTTCATGTTTAAGCCTTAGGAAGAGATTAGGGCACCATTTCACTCCTTTTAGGAGTTTACGGTCCTTGGACCATTTCCCTTTGGGTTTACGGCCGTAAACCCAAATGGTTTATGGTCTTTTGATGTTTCAAGTACTAAGCACATCAAGGAATGGATCTAGGCTAGTTTCTAAGGCTTAGAAGGGACTAGGGCACACTTTGGCACCCTTTTTTTGGGGTTTACGGTCCAAGAACATCTTGGACCGTAAACACCTTTGATCCTTGGTTTCTTGGGTGTTTTCTTGATGTTTAGAAGTGTAACAAGCTCTATAATACTCTAGGATAGAAGTACTTACTAGGCAGAAGCTTGAAAAGGTGCTAAAAGTCCAAGAACACTAGTGTGTGTTCTTGGTGAAACTTGAAGATCTACACTTTTGGAATGATTTCACGGATGGAATCATGTTAGATCACTAGATTAAGTAAGATATCAACTTTTTAGGTCTAGAAACACTTACAATGTTGAAGATCAAGAAGAAAAGTTGGATGATACTTGAGAGAGAATTGAGTTTTGGATCTTGAAATTGTGAAAGGTGATAAATAATGACTAAGGGTCATATTTATACCCTCTTTTAGGGTTTACGGCCGTAAACACCTTTGTTTAGGCCGTAAACTCCAAACTCTTGGAGTTTTGGGACATTATTGTTGCACAATAAACCCTAGGGCATCCTCTCACCTGTTATCTACTGAAGTACTAATCTTAAAATACTCAAACTTATTCCAAAAAGCTTGAAAATTAGCAGAAACAGTTTTAACTCCTATTGAAGTGAATGGTTGTACAGAATAGAAATTTCGGGTTGTCACATAGGACTATGTAACGTCCCAAAAATTAAGACCAAAAATTTCGATTTTTATATTAATAAAACCATAGTGAAATCAGAGTTTGTCAATAAACATCCAAATACATCAGAGTTATGTAAAATGCAGAACAATGTGGTGTATGAAATCCAGTCATCCCGAGCTCTTCTCCTTCGAACCAGAAGTACCTGAAATATAAACTGAAAATCGTAAGCACAAAGCTTAGTGAGTTGCTCAAAATACCACATACCATACATAACAAAGTCATAATGGGCCTTGCCCGACATCGAGACATGCTCGGAACAAATCAGTCAGTAAATAATGGGCCCCGCCCGTCATCTGTCCCCGCCCAACATACATATAAATACGGAAACACATGTAATAATCACAAAGATAAATAGCATACAAGATAGTCATCAGTCCCTGACTGGCATCGCACCACACGCAGTAAATATATCATAAAACATACATGAAGTGTTACGTAAACAACTAGCATTCTAATCATAACAAACCATGGGTCAGAATTGGTGCCTTCGACCTGCCAAACACCGTGAGGAAACTCACCTCAAGCTACTGAGTCTCTCAGATAAAATCTCGGTCTGCTGATCCGGAAAATCCCCACGCTAACACCATCATATAATATCCAATTAATAATATGATCTCAACTCATATTCAAGAATCTAAATTACTTGTCCAACATACATGGTAAAAGACCCTTATTCCCTTTTCTTATTTGGCCCAAAACGAAGCTCCAACATATAAATTGTTAAATTACATCCGAAAGCCCAACATGGCCAAACTTCCTAATGGGCCCAAAACCCATTGTGGCCTAATTCGAAGAAAGTCCACAGAAGTCAAACTGTTGAGTACGCTTGGCATGCTTAGACTTATGCTCTGCATACTCCTTCTGGGGCCAATACACGCTGCATATGAGCTGGGTACTCCATAGATGATCAAACTAATCAATTATGAACTTAATCAGTTAAGCCATTAAGCCGAACTCTTAGATCTAATCCTAAATTTTGACTTAACACGTAAAGTTTGCAAATTTACTCCCATGCATGAATCAATGGGACCCAAAACTGAAAAAAGAACCATATTAAGGATCCTAACACATGCATGGACCAAAGTAACTCATAAAGGTTGCATTTTAATGGATAATGGACCTCAACAGTGGTAAGATCTAACATCTATGGATTCTGGAGTAGACCATAATCTCAAATATGGCTTAAAGGACCCAAAAATGCACAAATAACACCCTAAGTTGGATCTAGCATACGGAACCATCGAGAAGCAAACTTTATAACTCAAATATCTTGCAAAAAAGAAGATGATTTTGGATCTACAAGCTCAAGCCACTCTCGAGAAGTCTTCAAGTGTTCTTCTTCCTTCACATCATCAAAAACACCACCAAAACTCAGTTCCAAGCTCAAATCTCACAAATGGCAATTAGGATTTCGATCTAAGGGTATAGAGAGATGGAGGTTGTGGTAAAAGGGTGTCATAAGTTGTTTAAATAGGGCATAAAACCTAAAAATTAGAGCTTGCCGCTATACTGTGTACGCTTTGCATACTCCCACGTACGCCCAACGTAAGTGGGTGCATCCGCGGTCCAGCCAACGAGCCAGTACGCTCAACGTACTCATAGAGTACGCCCCGTGTACTGAGCTACGGACTAAAATAAGAGAAATTCACATTAAGGGTTAAGAAGGAACATACCAATAATCTCGAATGTCATACTTGTCCCCCACTTGAATCACACTTCATTCTCGAAGTCCGCTGCCGCAAATAACTCTGGGTAATGCTCCCTCATCTCGTGCTTCGTCTCCCATGACCATTATGAGCCCTTGCGGTGTTTCCACTGTACTTTACTTACTCAACAACCTTGTTCCTCATAGTTTCCATCTACTTATCAAGAATTGCCACCAGTCTCTCGACATAATTCAGGCGATTATCCACCTGAATATCCTCTGGTAGAAGCACTGCAGAATCATCACCCATGAATTTCCGTAGCTGCGAGATGTGAAACGTGCTATGGATCTGACTAAGCACCTCGGGAAGATCCAAGCGATAAGCAACCTGGCTCAC